ACAATGTAAAGTAGTGTACAGCTTGTATAACGAGTTATTTTGAGGGGACCTCAAATTTACACTAACACACAGCCATTAATGTCTAAACCGCTGGCAACAAAAGTGAGTACGCCCCTAAGTGAAAATGTGCAAACTGGGCCCAAAGTGTCAATATTTTGTGTGGCCACCATTATTTTCCAGCACGGCCTTAACCCTCTTGGTCATGGAGTTCACCAGAGCTTCACAATTTGCCACTGGAATCCTCTTCTACTCCTTCATGACGATATCACGGAGCTGGTGGCTATTAGAGACCTTGCGCTCATCCACCTTCCATTTGAGGATGCCCCACAGATGCTCAATAGGGTTTAGGTCTGGAGAGATGCTTGGCCAGTCCATCACCTTTACCCTCAGCTTCTTAAGCAAGGCAGTGGTCATCTTGGAGGTGTGTTTGGGTTCGTTATGTTGGAATACTGCCCTGCAGCCCAGTCTCCGAAGGGAGGGGATTATGTTCTGCTTCAGTATGTCACAGTACATGTTGGCATTCATGGTTCCCTCGAACTGTGGCTCCCCAGTGGCGGCAGCACTCATGCAGCCCCCGACCATGACACTCCCACCACCATGCTTGACTGTAGGCAAGACACACTTGTCTTTGTACTCCTCACCTGGTTGCTGCCACACACGCTTGACACCATGTGAACTCTTGGTCTCATCAGACCACAGGACATGGTTCCAGTAATCCATGTCCTTAGTCTGCTTGTCTTCAGCAAACTGTTTGAGAGCTCTCTTGTGCATCATCTTTAGAAGAAGCTTCCTTCTAGGATGACAGCCATGCAGACCAATTTGATACAGTGTGTGGCATATGGTCTAAGCACTGACAGGCTGACCCCCCACCCCTTCAACCTCTGCAGCAATGCTGGCAGCACTCATACATCTATTTCCCAAAGACAACCTCTGGATATGACGCTGAGCATGTGCACTCAACTTCTTTGGTCGACCATGGCGAGGCCTGTTCTGAGTGGAACCTCTGTATGGTCTTAGCCAACGTGCTGCAGCTCAGTTTCAGGGTCTTGGCAATCTTCTTATAGCCTAGGCCATCTTTATGTAGAGCAACAATTCTTTTTTTTTTAGATTCTCAGAGTTCTTTGCCATGAGGTGCCATGTTGAACTTTGTTGAACTTCAGTGACCAGTATGAGAGTGAGAGCAATAACACCAAATTTAACACACCTGCTCCCCATTCACACCTGAGACCTTGTAACACTAACGAGTCACATGACATCGGGGAGGGAAAATGGCTAATTGGGTCCAATTTGGACATTTCCACTTAGGGGGTGTACTCACTTTTGTTGCCAGTGGTTTAGACATTAATGGCTGTGTGCAGGGGCGGACTGACCATTCAGAAACTTGGGCACTGCCCGAGGGCCCAGGGTCAGTAAGGGGCCCCATGAGATGCCCCTGGTACCTTTCATAGGCTTTTTCAGGTGTGGTTTGAGTGTGGGCTAGCACACAGGGGGCCCGTGATCCCCTATTGCCCGGGGGCCCCATGAGCTGTCAGTCCACCCCTAGCTGTGTGTTGAGTTATTTTGAGGGGACAGCAAATTTACACTGTTATACAAGCTGTACACTCACTACTTTACATTGTAGCAAAGTGTAATTTCTCCAGTGTTGTCACATGAAAATATAGAATATATTTACAAAAATGTGAGGGGTGTACTCACTTCTGTGAGATATTGTGTATGTATGTATGCACACACACTTGTGTGTACACGTGTGTGTATATACACACACGTGTGTGTGTGTACGTGTGTGTGTGTACGTGTGTGTGTGTGTACGTGTGTGTGTGTGTACGTGTGTGTGTGTGTGTACGTGTACGTGTGTGTGTGTACGTGTACGTGTGTGTGTGTGTGTGTGTGTGTGTTTTGTAATAGCAGCAAGAACTACTGCTCTTCTGAAAAGCAATCTATGCTCAGATTACTTTTCAGAAGCATTTGACAGGTGTTAAAGAGGCAATATGTTGCCTCCTCAACACCTGTTTTAACCTGTTTTAACACCTGCAAATGCAGCATCACCACACCACAAACCATGTGCACACATTTACGGGGTGGTTGTAATGCAACCCCATTAACCTGGAGGTATACTTCCAGCTGTGGCCACAGTATGTGTATACCCGCTGCTGCAACTAAAGTGGGAGCAGTTGGGGGTGGCAAAAGCAGCTTAACTGCACGGTTTTATCACCCTCCAACCTGTGCAGGGTAGAGCCCACTACATAGAAACATTTTTCAGCAGTCCAGAGTGGGGTGTTGAAGGCAATTTCAAGGCACGACCCAATTTACTGTTTAAATAAAAAGAAAAAATAAGTAGTCCACAGGACACACCTAAACAATAAAAGTCAGCCCAGATTTGCAGTAATACCTTCCTCTCCTCAAGCATGTCCTAGCATTATTATTTATATTTATTTTTGCCCCACAGCAACTTTTATTCTCCAGCTGCTATTTTCTAAGGTGCATCTCATTTGTAAAACTGGAAATGTTATGATGGTATCAAAATACACTTTAATGAATCACACAGTACAGTAAATGTATACCCCCACCTAAAAATATCCCACGGATTAAAAATGTTGTTCTCCTCCCACTCGGCCAGCCATACACCTGAACATCAGCATACATTAAAGAGTTAAGGGAATTAAGGACAAGGGCAAAAAACACTGGCAAAACAGTGAAGCTCAAAGCATGTCAGCATGAATGAACAAAAAAAAAAATCAGCAATGTGCAAACAGTCCGAATCTGTATGCAACACGAATAAGCATGACACTATCGGAAATACTCCACAGACAGATGGAAATCAGTTATATGGTGACTGAGCATGAAAGGAGGAGCAAACGCACTATATTTGTATTTCACATGTATAGCTCCAAATGGCAACTGAAGATGGAATCTGAGCTAATTAGAGCTCCCTACCCAATACCAAAGCCATGGAAAATTGACTGCAAAGATATCAGCACTACAACATTAGCCAGACTATGAACATGCAAATGCCAGTTCCACAGTAAATGCTAATCCTGAGCAGAAAATAGCAGGCTTTGACATACAAATGTAGCAGCAACAAAGCAAGAAGCTTACATACAGGTATCCATAAACATGAGAGCTCTGCATACAGGAACAGACTGATATAGTAAAGCACTATTTCCAGGTGCTATGGTAATTCCGTAGCACCAAATGCACTATTGGATAGGAATTAAAAACACAATCAAGTAGACTCCAGGAACACAGGGATAACAACCAACCAGGTCATGACTGTGCAGAGCACCATATTCCTACTCCAGCAACTCCATCAAGCCTCAGTAGCATTCCCATCCAGAGCTGTGTAGTGCAGACATACTGTAACTATCTAAAGGAATTCCAGCTTTGCGTCCCAATCCTGTCATATGTGGAGAGTCTGCTAAAATGCTGGTGTCAAGCGCAGGCAGTCTTTAAAGTGGAGTTCCACTCACTCTGTCAAAAATAAAAGTCAGCAGCTACAAAAACTGTAGCTGCTGACTTTTAAAAAAACAGCCACTTACCTGTCCCTCGGTCCCGCGGTGCATCCCCCGCAGCCTGTTTCACCGGCCATCCTGTATTCCAGGAGGCCGGCATCTTCAGTGTGGGCACCTGGCTGTGACAGCTTGCGGCTTCACAGCCAGGTGTCCACTGCGCTCATGAATGGGAGCGGGTACCTGTCAAATTTGGGTACCCACTCCCCCTGCCCCCCAAAGGTGCCAATCCTTAATGGGGAGCAGTCCTTAAAGCGGAACTTCCCCTTTAGGGTGGAGCTTCGCTTTAAACACCATAAGTGAATATCATATGGACCATGCATAAATAGTGAAAAATATTAAAAACTCTGTGGCAATATATGAAAAGCAATATTGATACGGATAATTATTATTCAGTCCCAGTAAGTGAGAATAAAGTTCTAAAATTCTTGATTGTGAACTCCTTGTACAATAGTGCTCCACTGTGCTCAGACTGGTGCCCCACATGGACTGACACTCACCGTCATCCCGTGACCACCCATCTCTAGGATGGTCATTTGCGCTTTTGGGACTATCCAAGTATGCAGTGTTGCTAATAGTAACAGGTTGTTCCTCCAAAAGTGCTGCGTCAATACCAACTCTCTCCTCTGAAGGTATCTATGTACAGGAAATAGATGATGCCTCTGTATAATGGCTGAGCAATAATGGCACTCTTCTCCTTGGTGGAGGTGGGAGGATGAGAGGGCTTCCCTTGTGGCTCTAGCCCTGAATGTGGGAACAGGTGTATGAGGCTCAGGGTAGCACAGGTGTTGGGACCTGGATGGTAGGTGATGATCAGTAAAGATGGTCCGTAGGGTTGGTGGTTAATGCAGATGAGAGAACAGCTCACAAGCAGCAGTGGTAGACAGCCCGTGCATTGGTTGTGTGGGAATCCCAGACAGGGCCTGGAAGGTAGATCTTAGGATCATACACAGATGAGTAAAGGTAAAAGCAGAAGAGTCTGGAAACAAGCTGGAACAAGCACAGGAGATCAAGCAAGAGTGAGGTCAAGCAGCAAGCCAGGATCACGATCAGGAGAGGGTCACGGTCACCTCCGCTTAGACTTTATCAAGGTGTGCATCTTATTTCTGGCTACTGTTTGTAGGTACACAACTGAGCTCCGCCTGTATTGAGCTGTGCTTGGCATGTTTAAGAAATTTCCAGCGGTTTGTGATCTCCACTCTTTATGCAAGTGCATTACAAAAGAGTAATAATCATTATTGGCTACTGGAAGTGGAGAAAATGAATCAAACGTATGTAGCAGATGATTTCCTTCGCACTCTTCTACAAATGCAGACAGGCCAACTGTAAACAAAATACCGTTTACAACAGTGTGGACCTGTAATGACAGTTCTCAAATAGAAAGAACAATTGCAGTCCAAAAGTAGTGTTACCGTACAAATATGTAAACCGTAAAACTGACTAGATAACCTTTATTCACAGCTTGATAAATATATAAGTCCACATTCAGCTTACCCACGCAGAGGATGTTGAAGCAGAAGCCTTGGGTGACAGATTTACTAACAAGCTGATCCGGAAGACTGTCGAAACCCACATGGCCTCCCAGTGCGAGGCTACGTTTTTCATCATTCTGCCAGGAAAAGAGAAAGGAAAGACAATTAGGATTTGCGCTAGTTCTCATAGGGTTAAACAGACCATGTTACTGAGATATGCAAGCGGGCACTGAAGGATGTGTCCTAAGTCGTCAGCACCCATTTTGTTTTGATACGCTACATTCCAGACATACTGCTAATCAGGGACCAAGGATCAGCAGGAAAAAAAAATATCAGATTTTGACTCTGAACCAAAACTGCAAAGATGAGAAACCACAATGTTATTGATACTATCTAGAACTCCTACAACTCAAAAAATGTATATAGGAATGTACAATTTAGGCTACCTTCACACTGCTCCACTGCAAAAATGAAGTAAAAACACATATGAGCTTTTGGTGCGTTTCCAATATATAGCATCTGTGAAAAAAGGACATGCGACTCAAAAAACACAACCACAAGTGCAGTTTAGATAGGTTTTCTATTCATTGCAATAGGAAGAGGTTTTGTTTTGGATTTTTTCAAACCACTCCAGAACTGCAGCATGCAGGAAAAAAATGCAACGGATCTTCAACTGACCATTGTAAAGAGTTCTAGGATTTAATGGTCATGTGTTTTTCTTCCACTTTTTTTTTTCTGATCAGTGTGAAAGCAGCCTTAGACTAAAGCCTAGTACACATGAGCCGAACATTGGGCGGCATCAGCCGGTTCAATAGAAACTGGGTGACATTTGACCTGTGTGTACGGCAGCTGGCTTCTGTCGAAGGAGCATGAGCGAAAAAGGTCTGCCAATCAGCTCCCGATCAGTAATCTCAGCCAATGGCTGAGAGCGCTGCCCGGAGTGTTCTGGTGGGGGCCCCCCCTGGCAGAACACAATAGCACAGCAGGGGAGATCGCTGTACTAAGATTGGATAGCTAGTTAATTAAAAAAAAAAAAAAAAACCTGAGTTTCCCCATTCACACATTTGAGGTAGATGGGGAAATCCTCCCTGCTGTGTCATTTTATTCTGACAGTGGGACTCAAGCGCCAATTGGTTGAACACGCTGATCAAGGAAAAACGTACCATCAAGCCTGTTCGTGAAAAGTTAAATGATACGTTGACTGGAACAGGAACAGCCATACATGGATTAAAATTCGGTCGGACAGATTAAGGCACTCTGTCCATGATTGCATGCATGCCTCCTTTACAAACAAACAATGTAGAGTTAATAGCCCTGCATTGTACTTGATGTCACAGTGGGACTGCCCACTGCACCACTGGGAGAAGAGAATGCCAAAGTTTGCCAGAGTAAGGGTAAGATAAGTAATACAGTCTTTTCATTTACGCCTAGAGTTAACAAGCTTTTACCCTTTTTTTCTCCCCAGCCCAGAGTTGTTTTAATGCCTATGTGTAGTCAAAATAAACACAAAATATCAGCACAAGGGACATGACTTATTATTAATGCACCTTGTGCTGCTGGTTTCCTTGAACCTTTCCCCCAAACAACCCCCACCCTCTCCACCAAAATCATCTAGGGTAACAGAACTGAGAAGTTGTCACTAGCACTCAACAAGAGTGCTAGGATATGCCCACCCTTTACACCCAGCTGGTACTTTAGCTTCTATGAATTAAATGTGATTTATGAATGGAGGACAGGCAGAATACACGGGTCAAATTCCAAAAGAGTTTTCCTTTGAAAACCTTTAAGAATTTTTTTCGAATTTCGCACTATTAGTGGCCACAGCAACAGCCAATTTTCAAGCGACCATCAAATTTGAGCGATCAGGCATGTTGGAAAGGTTTTGAAAAACGAACAAATTTCTAATCAATGATGGGAGAATTGTGCGAGAAATATAATTGAACAACAAATGAGCATGAGCTGTGACCTTGAAAGAAAATAAAATTCTTTTCTGTAGCAACGTGATGTGAAATTAAAGGCTTGGTTGGTTGAACTTCAAAATCAATAGCGGCACCATCGGATTACAAAATGCACAAAATTTCCGATTTTCTAAAAAAAATGTGTTTGGAAATCGACCCATGTATGGCCTGTATTATGTACACAAATCATTCACTCAACAATGTCTTTGTTCAGGTGGGAACGATTCCTGAGGGGATCAACAGGCAGCACTTTACCATACAGGGCTGGCTTTTGCCATCTTCAACATTTTAACAACTTCCCGGCCGCCTTATACCACAAATACTACTACAGGACCGCACAAAAATTACATATATACACGTGATTTTGCATTTCCGGGTAGGGGGTGCGTGCGGCGCCACTGGTGGCTATGGCTGTCGATCACCCAGTGCCGGCCGGAGATTCCCCGTCGGCACCCGGTGATCACCAAGGAACACTGACAGAGGAGAGGTCTGTATGTAAACCATACAGATCTCTCCCGTCAGCTCCAGCATGCTGCTTTGTATTGCTCTGCATAGCAGAGCAATACAAAGCAGCATGCTTACACAGTAAATCACACATAGCACACTTAGAAAAACAGCTTACAGCACACAGTTAACCCTTTGATTGCCTCAGATGTTAACACCTTCCTGCCCAGTGTCAGCAGTGTCAAAGCTTTTTTTTTTTTTTTTAGAACTGGTATTAGTGTCACTGGAGATGTCAGTGGCAGTTAGTGTCAGCGCCAGAATGCCCGATGCAGTCCTGCTAAAGGTCATTGATTGCTGCCATTACTAGTATAAAAAAAAAATCCATTATATATACTGCCATTTGTAAAAGCTATAACTTCCACATAAACCAATTAATTTATACACATTGGGATTTTTTTTTTTTTAGCAAAGACATGTAGCAGAATACATTTTGGCTTAAACTTAGGATGAAATTTGCTTTTTAATTTTTTTTTTACTGGATATGTTTTATAGCAAAAAGTCAAAAATATTGTTTGTTTTTTTTTTTCAAAATTGTCAGTCTTTTTTTGTTTATAGAGCAAAAACTTTTAAAACCACAGAGGCGATCAAATACCACCGAAAGAAAGCTAAAGGACATGAATTTAATTTGGGTGCAGTGCTGCATGACCGCACAATTGTCAGTTAAAATAATGCAGCACCGTATCGCAAGAAAATGGCCTAGTCAGGAAGGGGGGGTAAATCCTCTGGAAGGCAAGTGGTTAAAGGTTAGCCCCCAACATAAAAAAGTAACACTTTTCCAGATTTATATATATAAAAGGTCAAACAACCACCTATAAAGGCCGCCAAATCTAAAAAAGTATGTGCAAGCAGCCTCTGGGGTGCTAGAAGTACTGGTGGCAATACCAATCAGACCATATTACTGGGATGAGAATAGGGGACATGGTATGTCCTAAGGAGGCAGCACACATTTTGTTTTAGCATGGTACATTCCAAGCATACTGCTAATGAAGAAAAAGGGATCAGATTCTGAGTATGTGGCCCACATACAGCCAAGTCATAAGAAAACATTACTTTTACTCTACATGCATACACACACTATGCTACTTTTGTTCCTAATAACCAAGTTTCTTTCCGAACACAAACATACACAGCATGGGTTAAAAAGTCGCCCAGCAAATTTTTCTCTTCCAAACAATATTCATTAATTTCCATCAAGCACTGTAACACAAACTGTACTGCAGTTTCATATTCCTATTCTTTGATCTGAAAATAGCACAATATGCCATGATTTATCCATAAAGTGTGCACACAGCTGAAAAGCCAAACACAGCAGGCCCAGGACGTGTGTGAATAGACTGGCCCGGCATCCCTCCAAGCAGCTCCAAAATACAGTATGTGCGAGATCCCTATTCCGGATCAAAGAAACATGAAGATTTTGCCACTTTGAGAGGATGTATTCATAGCAAAACTTCTCAAATTCTAAATGTAAATGCATTGTGTGTTAGAAAGAATTTAATGTTTAACCTCTTGTCGACCCACTACAGTACATATACTGCGGCTGGGCGGCAGCTACAGGCACCACAATGTACTGGTTCAACGCTGCCTGTTTCCAGGTTAGGGGCGCGCGCCCACTTTCCCTGTGATTTTACACAATGGGAGTTCATCAGCAGAACCTGGACAATGATCCACAGCCTGGACCTGCTGATCAGCTGTGTCCAATCACAGCCTGGAGCCCTGTGTTGATAAACAACACAGGGCTCTATACAGAAGTAACAATCACTTTGTTTCTTTTCCCTGCAATGCAGGGAAAATAAACAAATCAATGTTTAGTGAAAAGCAGCACACAGTACACACATTAAGGCCGGCCATACATGGATCGATTTTCAAATGATTTTTACTTTGAAAATTGGACCTAAGAATAATCGGCTGATTTTTGCTCTGTTTAGTGGGGCAATGGCATCAGCCAATTTTCATGGTTCCTCCCCATTTCGTTTCTTGGGCATGCTGGAAAATTCGTGAAAAACAACAGATTTTAAAAGTCATTGGTGGCCACATCAGATTACAGAACGAACGATGTTTTCGACTGAAAAATCGTTCGGCATTCGACCCATGTATGGCCTGCTTAACACTTGTTGGTCACACAACTGATTGCCCTGAGATGTTAACCCCTTCCCAGCCAGTTTCATTAGTACAGCAACAATGTATAATATTAGCACTCATCACTGTATTAGTGTCACTGGAGATGTCAGTGGCAGTCAGTCAGTTCCCCCCACCACAAGCATCAATGCCAGATTGCATGTCACACTATCACAGTCCCACTATAAGTCACTGATCATCACCATTACTAGTATAAAAAAGAAAAAACAAATACAAATTCCAGTATACATACCACTGTTTGTGGGAGGTATAACTTTCACGCAAACCAGTTAATATATACTTATTGGGATTTTTGTAACCAAAATTATGTAGCAGAAAGTATTGTGACCTAAATGTATGAAGAAATTAGATTTTTTAAATTTGTTCACTGAATGTTTCATAGCAGAAAGTAAAAAAATGTTTTTTTCATCATTTATGGTCTTTCATTTATGGAATATAAAAAATAGTGGCGATCAAACGCCACCAAAGCTTGATTTGTGTGAAAAAAAATTATATAAATTTAATTATTTACTTTGGGTACAGTGTTGCATGACCGAACA